TAGGGAATTGCTCTGGAATGCTGTAGGAAATAGCACTGGGAAGCTGTAGGGAATTATTCCAGGATGTTTATGAGGATGATGCTGGGATGCACAGAGGTATGCCAAGATCCTTTAGGAGATGGCACTGGGACGGTTTAGGACATGATGGCAGTATGCTGTAGGGAATCCTGCTGTGATGCTTTGGGGAATGATGATAGGATGTGATATGGAATAATGCTAGGATGTTTTAGGGGAGCTACTGGCATGCTTTGGGGGATGGTGCCAGGATGTTTTAGGGGATGATGCACTCAGGAACAACGCTGGGATGCTGTAGGAGATGGCACCAGGATGCTGTGGGAGACAATGCCAGGAAGCTGTAGGGAATCCTGCTGGGATGCACTGGTAGATGCCTGCATGTGTTAGGGGATGGTGCAGGGATGCTTTGAGGGATGATATCAGGATGTGAGAAGGGATAATACTGGGATGCTTTAGGGGATGGCACTGGGAAGCTTTAGGAAACAATGCTGGGACACTTTAGGCCAGCACTCTGGGATGCTTCAAAGGATGATGTCAGTATGCAATAAGGGCTGATGCTGGGATGTTTTACGGGAGATACTGGCATACTTTGGGGGATGGGATGCTTTGGTGTGGGATGCTTTAGGAGAGCAAACTGGGGTGATTTAGCAGATAATGCTGGGACTCTGTAGGGATAACACCAGAATGCAGTGGGGGCTGGTGCTGGCTGCTCTGGGTGAGCAGAGGGGGTCTGCTTTTGGGGTGCCCAGGGGTGCTGGGCAGCCCAAAGAGACTGATCCCGAGGCCAGGGGTCAGTCTGTCTGTCTGTCCCCCGAGTCTGGTGGGCACAGGAGGCCACTGGGCCGGGGTCTTCTCTTGGGACATCCCAACCCACCTCATTACTGGGGAAGCGGGAGCCCATGTGTTCCCGAGTTGGGTGTATATTAACATCCCATTCCCAGCTCTTTAATCTCCAGTTTGTCGGGATCATCTATCAGGCCAGGCTCCCTCCAGGGCCAGGGGAAAGCGGGCAGGGCTGGCAGCTGGGGCCCAGCCAGGGCCAGCGCCGCCAGGCCCCGGAGGAAGCCAGCTCCGGGTCCAACAGGTCGTGGCTCATGTGTGAAGAGCCGGTTCGGGCCCGGCACCTCATTGGGAAAAGCTTCATCAAAGCTGGGCTTAATTGGGTGGAAGCCTCTTTTACATGGGCGCTAACGGGGGATCAGAGGGCTGGGGGCCGGCGCTGACAGCCCTACAAAGACAAGCAATTACTCGCCTGTCTGCATTATGTATTAACCCATCTGGGGCCGGGGATGGCCTGGAAAGAGAAACAAAGGCGGGGGCGTGACGGGCCCCCCCCTGCCTGCAAACCCGCCTGGGGCCCCTTTGTGTGGCAGGATGTGGGGGGCGGCTCCAAGGATGCTGCTGGGTACCAGGGCAGGGCAGGAGGGACCCTCAGCATCCCTGCATCCCCTCAGCATCCCACATCTTCTTCAGCATCCCGCATCCTGCTCAGCATCTGTGCATCCCTGCATCCCCCCTCAGCATCCTCATATCCCACCTGAAAGCAGCCACCACTCATTGCACAGGTGAGCCCCAGCTGAGAACAGCCACAACTCATTGTACCAGGTGATCCTGGCTGAGAACAGCCACAACTCATCACACCAATGATCCTGGCTGAGAACAGCTGCAATTTGTTGCATGGGTGATCCCTGGCTGAGGACACCCATGATTTACTGAACTGGGCAATCCCAGCTGAGAATCAGGCACAACTCATTGCATGGGTGAGCCCCACTGAGCCCACCACAAACCCTCCCCGCTGCAGCTGCTCCATAGGGATAATGAGCAACCCACTGCTCTCATTTACTTATCTTTCCTGCCCTCCCCACCCCTCTAATTGGGGACTGAAAATCTATAGAGCCATGGGGGGGCAAGGGCACAGGATGAAGGGACTGAGGGTTATGGAATCCTGGGGCTAGGGGACACCAGTACCATGGGAGCGCCTTTGGGGGCACACCACCAGTGGGGACACCCTTTCAGGGTTACTTGGGGGTGGTACCCGGAGACATTCTTTGGGGGACACTGAGGGTAGTGGTCCCCTTTCAGGACAGTCTAGTATGGCATGCTAGGTGACAACCGTACAGGCAGAGGCAGCTGTTGACAAAGAGCACACCCTGCCCCTCATCCTCCTCTCCCCCCTCTGCTGGGTGTCACAGCCAGCCCTTAATCTCTGTAATTAGCAGGAGCGAATTATGGCCCCTGATTGTGGCTGGACAGTGGCTGCCAGCTGTGTGGACATGGGGGG